TTAAATTAGACGATATATAATATAAATTCGACGATTGGATAAATTAGACGATATATCATATAAATTCGACGATTGGATAAATTAGACGATATATTATATAAATATAGAATATTTATTATATCAAGAATTATATTAGTAATTAGACCAAATTATTGGATGCACTGTAGTGTTTAGAGTTTTGCACGAGTTTATATGCAATACTTTTATATTTAAACATACATGTAATGGGTTTATATTCAGGAGATATTTTATCTACTTCCTATTTGTATTTATTTTTAACGTATTGCATGGCAATATTAACTAATTGATACACGGACATAACAAGTTTAAACCGGTTTCAGTCGCGTAAAAACATTAAAACTGTAGACTATCACCTGATAATTTAGATATTACGTAGAATCTTACAGTGCGTCGAATAATTTGGCCAGAGACTGTAATTTACAATTGTTTTTAAATTTATTTACTGATTTTAGTCTAAATAGCATCCTGAAGAAGGAACTTAAAGAGTTAAGTTATTTTGTACGAGCGTTTTTGCAATCATTTTTATAATTACTCCACGGATTGCATAAATATTTTGTTCTAAATAGCAATAGCTGCTCTGTCGTTGGGGAAGGATTAGTTGTCGCTTACTACCCAAGTCAAAATTTTTTGATTGTTTTCCATTGATGAACCAACATAATCTTTCATGGTAACCAACATAAGTAACCATCACTTCAATGTGGGAATTCAGACAGATATATGATGGTTCAACATAAGAATAGCAACTTGTTTTGAAGGTTTGTTCATATTGAACCATAATATTTTATTAGAAATCGTATGTTGGAAAGATCATGTACCATCATCACCCCAATCTAGGAATTCAGACAGATTCATGATGGTTTAACATAAGAATAACAACTTGTTTTGATGGTTTGTTCATATTGAACCATTAGAAATTTCCATCATATTTTCTTAGAAATCATATGTTAGAAAGATTATGCACCATCATCAACCCAATGTAGGAATTCAGACATATTTATGATGGTTTAACATAAGAATAACAACTTGTTTTGATGCTATCGGAGTTTAATTTCCAGTGCTTAAAGTCTGGGAGTCTGATCGGACTGTCCCTTCTCTAATTATGACTTAGTGATTCGAAATCCATTCAGTCAGTGGTGATTTTATAACCGAAGGAGTTCATGAAAATTTCAGTGGTTTGGGAGCGTGGTGAGAAGGTCGGATGATTACTACCAACATCTACCTTCCAATTAAAATTGAGGTATGGCGTGCTCATGCACCAGCATTGTCTTCGGTTCATCAGTAAGGATGTCGCTAAAATCCTATTAGTGTAGCACTAGTGCAACGTAGCTCTAGTGAAATTGCATTTTCTAGTGAAATTACATTTTCTAGTGAAATTACTTAAAAAGAAAACGAATATGATAGAGTAGAGTAGGAACTAGGAGAGATCAGTTTATTGTAAAACACATTCTGTATTCATAAACTGAACCATAATAACAAGGACATATGTTTTTGCATGTATACGATGTTCAATTGAACCATAGTATAAGAATTAAATGAAGGATTATTGGTTCAGCTTGTCATTTACTACAGGCGCAGTAAGTGTGTATGACAAAACTGTTCAAGCAACAAAAGTTCAAACATAGTTGAAAAACTGTCATAAATTCGCCTGGTTAATTTCAGGAGCAGCTTAATCAAGCCCAATTCACACATTCGGAAAAATTTCATTATCTTAGGTAATTTACTTCATCTCTTGCTAATTTAAAAACACATTTAATTGCATAGATATAACATCTGTTCCACAATACTTTTCTGCTGCAGAGAAACATCGTTATGAATATGTATGCAAGAGCTTAAGGAGGTTAGGTGCAATAAGGTTAATATCAATCACACGTTGACGATAAACTGCAGATTTCACCTAAAATGGAAGAAAAAAATCTTAAATATGTCTTCATGAAAATTAAAAGTAAGTCATAGTGTAAATACCAATTTTATTATAATAAAACATTACGGATGCAATGCCAGATAGTCATTCAAATAGAGATAAATATAAATATGCATTTGTATATATCAAACAAGATTTATGGAATAAAATAAAGAAATGAAGATTTTATGAGGCAACAATTGTAGAACAAGCGAAATAACTGTTTTTAATTAATCGAAATGATGAACTCACAAATTTTTAAATCTCTTAAACCTTAAGAGATTCACCAAAAGAATAAATTTATAATTAAACACAAGATAAGAGAAATATAAATATTTGCATTTAGGGAGGGGAAACCCCCCTTACAACTTTTCTGAAAGGAAGTGTACCCAAAAGTATTTAATTTCTGGGAGATTTAGCGCACTTTTTCGCTGTCATCTTTTATCCTGCCTTCTAACTGGATAATTTGGGAAAAGGAACATTCCCGAATGAAATATCCGGAACCATGAATGCATGAATGGGATTAATGAATTTATTCATCTCAAAAGCAATTTTCTCCAAGTTTTTTTTTCTCCTGTACTTTCCCTCGAACTACAGTCAATGAAAATCTCGTTTTGTTTCCTGTTTCTGGATAAATAAAGATTCTTTTTCGTATAATGACAAGAAAATGCCTTTGATGTAATTGGGGTTTATTTGCGAACATATTAACGCTTCATTAGATTCCCGAAACTGTCCTGATTTTTTTTTCTTCTTCCAAGAAATGTTAAATGAAATCTTAAATGCGCTATGATTTTGAACTGGCTTAGTAAATACAGATAATAGTTACTTAGTTTTAATTTTGCGACTTTTGACTAATGAATTATACATGAGAAAAAAAATAAAAAAATATTTCTAACAAACGCGTCATTAAGTATGATAAGGTTTACTATGTTTTGTATGTTAAAGGTTATGATATGTAAAGTTATGGGTTGCACGTGCTTCGTGAAGACCTAATAAAACCGATACCAAAAAGAAAGAAAAATTCTAGTAGGATAAAATGATGAAATATTAGTTCAATTGGAATAAAACTCTAAAATAATGAATATTCATATTTAGTTTTATTGATCGCGAGTGAAAATGGAACTTTCTCAATGCTTTACTTTTGAAGGGTGATGGCATCGATTTTTCAAAATGGATCGATCTTTTTGAAAAGTTGCACATTTTTTCTAGGTAGAATTGATGATGGTGGACTTGAATTGATAAAAAGATGTACTTTTTATTGACCACATATTATTTTAACGTATCCATTATCGGTGTAAAGGGAAAAAAGTGATTTCCCTTTCCCACGTGAACCGATAGTATACGTAAGCAAATAAACAAGCGTTTTTTGCTGTTAAACCTATTTTCGTTCAAAAACTTAATGTAAAGTCATCCCTGCAATTGACTACTCTGAAACTTACAGTTTATTATCAATGCATATATTTTATTTTATAACCATCGTTGAACAGCCGACCCAATATTTGGGTTTGCGACTACTGATGTTCAACTCCTTAGCCTTGTAATTTTGAACCCAATCCACTACACAAGAGAACTATTGGATCAAGTATTGGGAGAAATTTGCCTTCGTGGAGGACTTTTTGATTGAACTAGCCCCCATTTGCGTACATGGAGAGGAAGACCACGAGAACCTCCAACGGTTAGCCTGACGGCAAGGGAACTCTAACACATGATCCATCTACCACTGGGGATATTTTACGCCAGCACTGTAATCGGTGTAAGCCGGATGTGGAATTCGTATCGAATGGGATTCGAACCCGGTTCGCCTAATTGGAAGGCGACCGCTCTATCCCTTGAGCCATCACGGCTCTCAAGAAATTGCTCGAGATCGTTGGGTCCATCAGTGGAGTTATCGTAAAGACACGGTTCCTGATAGAACACTGAAATCAAGCATTGCTGGCTGCCGTGAGTACGCGGGTGGGTGACTACTTTGATCAGCTTGCGTCGGGATCGAGGGTGCGTGCTATCAGTCCTCGTTAAACTGTCTTACCGTAAAGTGCTCGACTTCGCGTGCAGGTCGTCGAGCTATCAAAGCAGGGGAGTCACCCCCTCTGCAGAGGATCAAAGTTTCGATGGCATGTCTTCGGATCATCCTCTGGGATGTTTCCCAGACCATTGACAATAGCCTATTGTGCAGCTCTAGTGCGACGTAAATTGGGGAAAAAAACAAGTTCAAAACTGACCCAATACTATCGAGTAAACTGTAAACCGGAAACTACGATTCTACACACGCAAACCAATAAGCATTCCATCATTTTCCCAATTTACGGTATAAACAGAACGCAACAATTCACGTGCCCAATTATCTCTAACATGTTAACATGGTTAATTAAATAATAATATGTTTAATTAACATGTTTAATTAATAACCCAATACTATCGAGTAAACTGTAAACCGAAAATGACGATTCACATAAACATGGCCAATATATTAGACGCACTAAAAATTCAATGTAAAATCTTAATTATCAGGTGATACTATACAGCTTTATTGTTTTTACGTGACTGAAACCGGATTACACTTTTTTACCTTTCTGTTTCCAATTGGTTAAATTAAACAATATATGATATAAATTCGACGATTGGATAAATTAGACGATTTATTATACAAATACAGAATATTTATTATATCAGGTATTATATTAGTATAGTATAACAATTAGACCAAATTATTAGACGCACTGTAGTTTTGAAATAATAACATGTTTTGCACGAGTTTATATTCAAAACTCTTATATTCAAACATAAATGTAATGGGTTTTCATTCAGGAGATTTTTCATATTCTCCCTATTTGTATTTATTTTTAACGTATTGCATTACAATGTTAACCAATAGGATACACGAACGTAAACAAGTGCAATCCGGTTTCAGTCGCATAAAGGTAATAAAGCTGTATAGTATCACCTGATAATTAAGATTTTGCACAGAATTTCATAGTGTGTCTGATAATTTACCTAGCGACTGTACAATGTGTGTTTGATGCAATGTTGAATTAACTATTTCACGGTTTCAGAATTTATTTTAAACATTCACTATTTTCAGAGCCCTATGGACAAGTGCCGCCAAGAATTACCCATACATCTTCTCGGATTCTGATTCAAACGGGAGAAACAGCTTTATTGCCCTGTGCGGGACAGGCCTTTCCGCTGCCTAATTACAGGTGGTACAGAAAAGAAGCTTCCACGACTCCGGTACGCCTGGGACACCGAAGAGAAATGGTTGGTGGCACTCTGATCTTGCGAAACGCTGAGATAAGGGACAGCGGAAGGTACATCTGCGTCTTGACGAGCTCTGGTAATGAAGATAAAGCGGAAACGGAATTAACAGTGACAGGTGAGATTAATGAATGGCTCGTGTTCATTGTTTGATTTTGAATATATGTGTGTTTCATCCCAAACCAACGTATTCTCCTCTGATCCAATTTCTTGATTCCTGAAATGAAAGCATATCTTGTCGATGATGATTAATTTTTCAAGCATGATTTAAAATTTTTCAGTAATAAACATCGAAATAATTTTATTTTATTTTATAACCATTGTTGAACAATTTTTTGAGTTGACGACTACTAATGTTCAACTCCGGAGCCTTGTAATTTTGAACCCAATCCAGAAGACAAGAGAACTCTTGGGTCAAGCATTGGGGCAAATTGATCTTCGAGGGGATTTTCAAATTAATAAACCCACGATCACCTTACATGGAGAAAAAACGACGAAACCCACCCACAGTTAGCCCGGTAATAATAGGAATTTGACCCATGATCCACCATGACCACTGAAGTTATTTTACGTCAACACTGAGTTCGATGCAAACCGAAAGCAGAATTCGTATCAACCAGCCACTGCGGNTGAAACGCATGGCCTTTACCAAAAGCATACGAGAGCCTTCTTAATAAGGAGTTTCTCTACCTAATTTTGACCCCTTACATTAGTCCCGCAAGTGGATTGATCGTTACGACTCGGTTCAAAGCAGATCACAGAAGTCAAGTATCACTGGCTGTGGTCAGTGTGTGGGTGGGTGACCACTTGGATTAGTCCGCGTAGGGATCAAGGGTGTGCGGTATGGGTCCTGGCTAAACTGCGCCACCGTAAAGTGCTCGACTTCGCGTGCAGGTCGTCGGGCTACTGAGGTGTAGGTGCCATCTCCGCTGCAGAGGATCAAAATTGTGATATAATGTCGTCGGATCATCCTCAAGGATGTTTCCCAGACCGTCGCCGATAGCCCTTTGTGCAGCTCTAGGGCGAGGTAGATGATCTACAACAACGACCCCCCACCTTACCGATCAATTCATTTTTTTTCCTTGCTGGACTTGTACATTTTTTATTCCTTTTATGAATTTTCTTCGGCATGTTGACTCGCTCTTTCATTTTGTAAGCAATAGCGTTAGAGAGACTTATAAGGCAGGGTGAAGTGTTTCCCTAACAAACCTATCGACATTTTTTTTTGTTTATTTCTGTTTTGTTTCTAGCTATTCGATTTCTTTTATTCTGTGACCAATAGTGTAAGGGTGATTAACGAGGTAAAGAGGAACCAGGAGCCCAGAGCCAAAAGTTTTTCGATGCTCCCGCTCTGTTCACAGATAATAAGCTATGCTCCATCGTTTCTAAAGCTCCGGCAATTTTAATAAATATTTATGTTCGCTTTGAGTTTCAGATTTTAAACTGAAATTTTTGTCATGAAATTTAAGAAAAACAATGATAACTTAAGCATCAGCTCGTAGGGAAAATAAAAATTTAATTCGATTTTCAGTTATTTGTTCATTCCGAAGAAAAGAACTGAATCTAATAAAATCCTCTTTCTTATTTGATCTTACATCATTATTAAATGCAGTTTAATGCAGATAATACACTTTCTACAGCTAACGGGCAATGTCGTTACAATGCGGTAGGTCTTAGGGATATCTGTGAAATGAAATGATATTGCTGGAGCACTGGAGCAAAAGGAAAATTTAGAACCCCAGCTCCGGAGGGCTCTGGCTCCAGGCTCTAATTCAAATTCCAGGTTCCTCCGATATTTACAAAAACTACTTAGAAAAATGTTTGAAGAATGCTCATATATTGCGTAATTTTTAATGAATTAATTTAGATTTGGAAACAATAATTTTGCTATCAATTAAAAAGTGTTCAAAAAATTTTGTTAAATTTAATTTGAATTTTTAAAGTTATAGCAAAAGAACATTAGCAAGCATGTTCGTATCTCATTAAATATTTAAACTAGGCTTACGGAATTCTATGCAATTATTTCACACAATGAGCAAAGGGATCTATACAAGCTACAGGTTTATTGCTATAATTTCTGACATAGGGTGCTCAAAAAAACTTTTTATCTGTTCGTAAATTATTACCGGTCCCTCAAACATCGGAAAACTAAAAATGTTATTTATTAAGTATGAAGAATTTCATGAATTACACTAATGTTATAAAATGGTCCTTTAAATATTCCTTCGGAAATTTAAAAAAATATGCCAAGATCAAAATAAAAAAAAACGTTTTAATTATTTATTCCATATTTATTATTCGTATTATTACTATTGTGGCGTAACTACCACTATAAATATTAAATACTAATTCACTAGTATATAAGACATGTTCACCTAATTCCATCTAGAGGTAGCTTATGATAGATGAAGGTTGACATAGTGAAATAAAACATTCCCTTCACTATAATTAAATGCTTCTTATCTCAAATATTTATATATTCTTATGCAAGCAATAGTGATGTGCCAATCGATTCATTTAAATGAATCGATTCTTTAGAATCAATTCACTAAAATGAACGGTTATATGAATCGATTCTTTGATTCTTTTTTTAATGGTCGTTATAATGGAAGAGTCTTTATAAAAGGTGGTCGTACAAATTAGTTTAGACTGTTTTAGTATTTGAATTAGTTGATCTAGGTCAGGGGCTCTCAATATTTTTCTGCCATGGAACTCTAAATAATTAACGTTCTTTCGGCGGAACACCTGATAAAAGTACTATCTCGTGTAGCCGCTGTAACCTTTCCACGGAACCATAGGGCNCCTTGAATTTCAACACTGAATTGCTACTTCATGATTGAAAAAGTTAAGAGGATATCTGGCATAAACTAACATGTTTATTAAAATATTTTTCAATCGAGAGAACATGTACTTTAGATACAATAATGAACTTATAAGAACTAGAAAAGCCTATACAAATTTTGAACAAAGATGGCACATTAGTTATGGGTCTGCACTATGGTTACGATGAACTGGTGCTGTCTCCAATGAATCCCATACAGCTTCAAAACAATGAGAGTACCAGCTTATCTAGGATCTACAGAGGGATGGTGCCCAAGACTTTTCACATTACCAACATTATGCCCTAGGTTTCAAAACTATGAAAGCTTAATCTCTGTAAACTCTCTGCCAATAAAAAGACTGTCATAGACCTACATTGCTTTATACAATTTACTTTAAGTTATATAACAATTGCATAGATTCACTTCAAAAATTAAAAGCAAAACAATTCATCCATGATCAATTCAAATTCTGATATCTCTTTCTTATTTAAATAATCTGACAGGCTACTAAAATTAAAAATAAAATGAAGAAATAAAAATTAAAGTTACCTAAAAATGTTTAAGAAAGTGTCTATTTATTTAAATTGAAAGAAAGATATTAATAAATCAAGAAATCCATTATGGTATATGTTTACAAAAATATTTCTATTCACTTAATATGCAAGGAAAATCATACATTTCAGAGTTAGGTTGTTAAAAACAAAATTTATAAAGATTTTATTTTAAAATCAAATTGCTAATAAAAAAATTAACAAATATACCTTTTGCATATCATAATGGAGACCCCTAATGGCAAAACCTGGTTGATAGTCCAATTGTCTAATTTCTTGAGGATACTGCAAAAAATAAATTTTAAGAAAGTTTTTTTCCTGTAAACATAGAAAGCAAATACTCAGAAAAAAAAAAGACTACCATGGAGACTCGTATGTTTTTGGAAAAGCAGTACAGTGTCATTAAAAAATCTAGAGCAGTTTTTAAAGCTATAGAGCAAAGGATGAAATATTTAAGACATTGATAATTTTATGTCAAATTGTATCTAAAAACAAATAAAGATTACACATTTTTCTAACAGTTGATCTTCTGTCAATGTTTAAAAAATATGCTTACATTTTTTTCTACTGATTTACAAATTTTCCCGCTTTGTGTCCAACAAAAAAGGCAAACACGGGGTTCCATTGCACACATATATATATATATATATATTAAATTGCTCTTTCTCAGAAACTGTTTACCCGGTTTTACGCAAATGTTTCGTTTTGACGTACTAATATGACATAAAACATATTTTTTCTCACAGAACAATTTTGTTTTCAATTATTCTTAGATAGAATAATCGAAAAGTCAAAACAGTTGTTGAAACTGTGTTATTTATTTACCCAGTACATTTATTTACCTAGTTAAAAGGTTTTGGTTTAAGTATACATAAAAAAAATATCTTTATTTACTATAATTTGACATTTTAATTTTACGTAAATTTTATTATACTTCTGTAAAAATAATGTACGCCTTTTTATCAAGCAACGAATTTTTAGTAAAGTGTACATAAAATAAGCAGTTCTTATGTAGATACCTAAATTTTATGTATACCTAAATTTTCCTTCATTTTGCTCCAATACGACATTTTAATTTTATGTGAATTTTGACCTACGTATGACGTAAATAATGCGTAAAATATAATGTTCTCTATTATACCTTGTAAAAAGTGCTTGGTAAAATATAAACAAAAAGGAACAAATTTATTTAGAGAAATTTTCTGTTTCTTGGATAACCACTCTTCACTATAATTTGACGTTTAAACTTGCGTAAGTTTTCACATATTGTTGACGTAAGTACTATTCAAAAATAACGTGTTCATTCTAACCTAGTAAAAAGTGGTTGGTAAAATATTCGTAAAATAAACGAATTTGTTTAAGTAAATTTTTTTGTTTCTGGGGTGGCCATTTTTTGCTATAATTCGACGTTTCAATTTTGCGAATGCTTACTAAAATTTAAAGTCGAAATATACGTATATTTTTTACGTAAAATTGATTTTTTTTTTCTACATGGGATATTCTCGAATGTCCTAAAGAATTTTTTTTTATAAATATAATTTTTTTTGTACTTTTCAACATGCTCTAGATCGTTATTCTACTCCTAAGAAATTAAAGAATTTGACTTATTACTGAAATTAAGCAAAATTTCATAACAGATGTCAAAGTAAATCAATATCTCATCCTCTTCTTCGAAATATAAACTTCAAAATATTTTTCTTACCTTAAATATACTGTCCCTGTGAGAATTATTAAACACATTATTATATTCTATGTAAAATCTCAATTATCAGGTGGTACTATACAGCGTTATTGTTTTTACGCGACTGAAACCGGTTTGCACTTGTTTATGTTCGTGTATGAATTGGTTAACATTGTAATGCAATACGTTAAAAATAAACACAAATGGGAAGTATATAAAAAATCTCCCAAATAAAACCTATTACATGTGTGTTTATATATAAAAGCATTGCATACAAACTCGTGCAAAACACGTAATTATTAAAGCACAACAGTGAGTCTAATAATTTGGTCTAATTATTACAATATACTAATATAATACCTGATATAATAAATACTCTATAATTTATGTAATGTATCGTGTAATTTATCCAATCGTCGAATTTATATTGTATATCGTCTAATTTAACCAATTGATACACGAACGTAAACAAGTGCAAACCGGTTTAAGTCGCGTAAAAACAATGTTTTACAGTACCACCTAATAATTGAGATTTTACATAGAATCATACAGTGAGTCTACTAATTTGGAAAGGGGTAGTACAATCAGTGCAATCTGCTCATAAATATCTCTTAAAATGTTTTGTTTCAGCGAAACTGTCAGTGTCTGTTTATCCTCACGAAAGGATAGCAGATATCGGGGAAGTCGTGACATTCAACTGCAGCGTAAGAGGCTATCCAGTGTCCAATGTCAGATGGTCGAAAAACGCCAAATTCATTACGGACAGTAACAGGATGCGGGTGATTGCCAGGAACCAGCTGATGGTGACGTCAGTGCGGAGAGAGGATCATGGTTTGTATCAGTGCTTCGTCAACAACGACAAAGATTCCGCTCAAGGGGCAGCACAACTTCTAATTGGAGGTAAGGAGATTCTCATTAATCATTTGCAGCATTTTTGTGCAATATTTTTGAATCCCTCCTACTTTTTTGTTTTGAAGGGACATACTTCCCCCCTAACCTCTTGTCACACGTCACGCTAAATTACGTAAACAACATGGAATGAAAATTTACCGTACTGTATGGGAAAAATATTTCTGGTAAAACGAAACAACATACAATTCTGGTTTATAAATTCAAAATATACGGTATTTCAACCTTCCATATAAGGTAATAGCTTACCCGCAAGTCTTGTTTTAAATTTTATAGTTTATTTTATGACCGTCGGTAAACAACTGGTGACCTCATGTTCAATTTCGTAGCCTTGTCATTTCGAACGCAACCCAGAAGACAAAGGAACTTCTGGATCGAGTATTGGGATAAATTTTGCCTTTGTGGAGGACTTTGTGATGGTGCTAACCCGCATTTGTGTTACATGAAGAAGAAGACCACGAGAACCTCCCACGGTTAGCCTGAAGGCGATGGGACTCTAACCCATGCTGCTTCTACCATTGAGTTTCTTCCACTTCAGCCCTGTGGTCGGGGCAAGCCGGATGCGGAATTCGTATCGACTTGGATACGAACCCGGTTCGCCTCATTGGAAGGCAAACGCTCTATCCTCTGAATAATCGCGGCTCTTCAAGTCTTGTTTTTAAAAAAAATATAGATCTTATTACCAAATATTTAGTTAAAAAACACAAAGCTGAAATGTAAATTTAGTTGAATGAAAGTTTTTTATGCTTTAAGGCATGCTTTAAGGTATCATGCTGAAATTATCACATTTTACGGCATTTACCAAATTTTAACACACATTATAAAACAATATTTATTTTGTTAATTTCCCCCAAAACATTACAAGATCGCTTTGGTAAAAACTACCTTGCTTTTCAGTGGGAAAAACCACCGCTAATTTCACCCTGTTTTTGTAGTTCCGACCTTGCTTTTATTCTAGGTGTGTATTAGCAGTTCTTAAACAAAACAAGTACTGTAAATTAGAATTCCGATTTTTTTTAAAATTCGAAGTATGTTTGTTACTGAAATTTGTGAACATAGGAAACTGATATGGTTAAATATATACTTATTTCGATAAAAAAATATGACAATAATAATATAAACTATAATTACATAAATTACTTTTCAGCTGATTTTAAAATTTCATCAAAATGCTTCTTCTCTTTCAAAAGCATCTCTTTGCTACAAAGCGTTGAAATCTTAAGGATCCCCTCCAAAACTGTCTCAATTTTATTGGAGACTTTTTTTATAACAGTTCAAGCAGTAAAAAATCTCTTCACACTATTTTAAATAGACAACATATGTTATTTTGCGAATCTTAAATATGCTGGGTGTAAGAAATTAGGAGAATTTGCAGTCTTGGTCAATTATCTCTAGAACTGCTGGGCCGATTTTAAAGAAATTCGATATGTATATACACTGATACAATACAAAACAAATGACCATTCAACAATTGTAATACTCAAGCATGATCGTGCGTAACACTCGTTGTAGTCGGAAGGTATGAAATTGCTACAGGACAATTCAGGACAATTGCCTCAGGAAATAATAAACTGCCTTATTTCAAGTATGAAATCATGCTTCAAGGTCAGTAAGAGGGGACCATTCCGCCTAGTAACCATTTTTTGTTGTTGTTGTTTGTTCTGCAACCGCTGTTTTATACCTTCTAACTCCAACAAGTTTTATGCACGATCATGCGCGTGTCTTACAATTGTTGAATGGTTATTCGTTTTGTATTGTATCAATGTACAGTTCCTGGACACATTATTAGAGGCACTATAAGATTCTACGTAAAATCTTAATTATCAGGTGATACTATACAGCTTTATTGTTTTTACGTGACTGAAACCAGTTTGCACTTGTTTACGTTCGTGTATCAATTGGTTAAATTAGACGATATACAATATAAATTCTACGATTGGATAAATTAGACGATATATTATATAAATATAGAATATTTATTATATCAGGTATTATATTAGTATATTATAATAATTGAACCAAATTATTAAACGCATTGTAGTGTTTTAATAATTGCGCGCTTTGCACGAGTTTACAGGCAGTACTTTTATATTTAAACAAACATGTAATGGGTTTTAATTCAAGAGATTTCTTATATACTTCCTATTTGTATTTATTTTTAACGTATTGCATTGCAATATTAACCAATTTATACACGAACATGAACAAGTGTAAACCGGTTTCATCCGCATAAAAACAATAAGGTTGTATAGTATGACCTGAAAATTAAGATTTTACAAAAGATCTTATAGTGCGTCAAATAATTTGTCAAGGAACATATCAAATTTTCTTAAAATCGGCCCAGAAGTTCTAGAAATAATTGACCAAGTCTGCAAATTCACTTAATTTCCTACACCAATGAATTTCTAATAAGGCACCATTTCTTTGCTTCGAAACAGTCTATTTCGACAGAAGTTTTCATTCATTTAAATAATATTTCAAAATCAAATAATGATTCGGGTTTCTTTTAATTATTATTGACATAGCGAAATAAATTTTCCCCCTGAAAAAGTCCTACCTTCATTGTTTCTCAAAGCCTCAGAAGGAGTTTAATTTATATTAAATATGAAATTTTCATTTCTGTTGGAGTAAATTATATTTTCCATCCGTCGAGATTCTCCGTGACAATTCCAAATGAAAGTAAGTCATTAAGCAGAATATATGGAAACACACAGAAACATTGTTTAAGAAAATTCTGCGTACAATATTCGTCTCTAGTCAATTTACAAGTACCTTCCTGTGCGTGCATGAATACATTTAGTATATTTCTTTTCGACGGACTGATGAGTCTAATAATTTTTGTTCAAATACTCAGAAATTAGTTACTTTATATTTTTAACGAAATTTGGAAGCGTTTCAATGCGTATGATTAGTATATTTTTAACTTGGAATTAAGCATAAATATGAACACAGCAGTACAATGTGCTGATATTTTCTCAAATAAATAAGCTCGGATGCAACTAAATGCTTCAACAAAAATAATGAAGTTATTATTTTGAAATTATTTACTTCATCATAGATGCGACTTCTAACTATAACTTACGATTTAAATAAAAAAAATAGAGTGGTTACGATTTAACTATTACAAAGCAAAATGTATGTAATAAATTATAATCTCTTGTTCAGAATGCTCTTCTTAAAAATTTATGGTTTAAAAAAAAGGTTTTAATATTGTAATTAAGCGTGCGGAGAAATGTATATGAAGATTTACGAACGCTACTGGAAGCATCATTTTTAATGAGATTTTCGGGATCGCTGTAATTTCTCATTGTTACAGGAAATAGTGCGTCAAAACAAACGTTATTTTGAGAAAAAAAAATGTCTTTATTTATTTAATAAATCTTACAGAAAGCAGAAATCCCACTGTGAAAATGGTACACTTAAATGATTTTTCTCTATTTAAAATTCAACTCTCTGTAGAAGATTTTCAGAAATTTATGTTGTTAGTTTGGGTCATAAATGAGTGCTAATATTTACTTTAAGCGAGGAAGGAATAATGTCTTGGAAATTAGAAAAATATCATAGAACTTAATTTTTCCTAGTTGATGGTTTTAAATTATATTCGCGTCATCGTCATATAAATCAAGGGGTTTGAAAAAAGTAATACATTAATCGATTCCAGTTTTCGTTTTAAAAAATTATTTAATTTCTAAACTATTTCTAAACTTATTTATATTGTAAATGTTTATTTTAAATCATTTCAAAACTTTTGATAGATATGTATTTGTTCAGAACTTAATGTTTCTTATATGAAATATTTTTATATTAAGTATTTCATATTAAATATTTTTTATATTGAATATTAAATTTATTCTTATTGGATTAATTTTATTAATTACCCTTTCTTTATTAGGTGAATAAATTTTAAGCTTAATAAATTCCAGGGATATTATAATTTTATACATAAAAGCACAGTAAAAACTAACATAAGGTGTATAACAATTATCGTTTCAAATGTAAATTTTCAGAAACATCAGCTAAATTTACTCAATTACGAATCACATATTGATCCCGTTTAGAGGGATTCCTATAGAGCACAAATGTTTTATATCTTCAACTAGTGGTGAATTGCAGAAAACGGTATATTGTATTGACCGTATTTATAGTATGCGTCATAAATCGTATGTATCGTATAGTGTGCATATTGCAAACCATATATATCACAGAAAATTAAATATTCTGTTCTATAATTCAGCTTACCAGCTGAATTATATCAAGCTTATCTTTAAATTTTAATGCTTTACAGCCGTTCATCTTCATAATTGCCTACCGATATTCATTAAACTTGAGATTAAAATTCCTACTTTCACGCTTTTCTGCATACATTTTAACAAAGGTAGTACATTTAGCATCTACTTAATGTACTACCTAACTGCTATTTTGAATTCTACAATATATAAANAAATTTGGAAGCGTTTCAATGCGTATGATTAGTATATTTTTAACTTGGAATTAAGCATAAATATGAACACAGCAGTACAATGTGCTGATATTTTCTCAAATAAATAAGCTCGGATGCAACTAAATGCTTCAACAAAAATAATGAAGTTATTATTTTGAATTTATTTCATCATAGTTACTATTTCTAACTATAACTTACGATTTAAATTATAAATAGAGTGATTTCGATTTAACTATCACAAAGTAAAATGTATCTGTAATCTCCTGTTCAATTTAGTTCTGAATGTTCTTCCTGAAATTTATGGTTTAAAAAAAAAGCTTTTAATATAGTAATTAAGCGCGCGGAGAAATGTATATGAAGATTTACGAACGCTGCTGGAAGCATCATTTTTAATGAGATTTTCGGGTTCGCTGTAATTTCTCATTGTTACAGGAAATAGTGCGCCAAAACAAACATTATTTTGAGAGAATTGAAAAAAAAAATATTCTTTATTTATTTTATAAATCTTCCAGAAAGTAGAAATCCCACTGTGAAAATGGTACATTTAAATGATTTTTCTCTATTTAAAATTCAACTCTCTGTAAAAGATTTTCAGAAATTTATGTTGCTAGTTTGGGTCGTAAATGAGTGCTAATATTTACTTTAAGCAAGGGAGAAATAAGGGCTTGGAAATTAGAAAAATATCATAGAACCTAATTTCTCCTAGTTGATGGTTTTAAATTATATTCGTGTCATCGTCATATAAATCAAGGGGTTTTGAGTAAAGTAATATATTAATCGCTTTCAGTTTCTTTTAAAAAAATTATTTAATTTCTAAACTATTTCTAAACTGATTTACATTGTAAATTTTTATTATAAATCATTTCAAAACTTTTGTTATTTGTTCAGAACTTAATGTTCCTTACATGAAATATTTTTATAGTAAGTATTTTATATTGAATATTTTTTTTGAAAGATTTTCATATTAAATATTTTTTTATATTAAATATTAAATTTATTCTTATTGGATTAATTTTATTAATTAACATTTAGTTATTATTTGAATACATTTTAAGTTTAGTAAATTCTAGGGATATTATAGTTTTATACATCAAAACATAGTAAAACTAATGTAAGGTGTACAACAATTATCGTTTCAAATACAAATTTTCAAAAACATCAGCTAAATTTAATCAATTACAAATCACATATTGATTTTTATATTGAATATTAAATTTATTCATAATGGATTAATTTTATTAATTAACATTTATTTATTATTTGAATAAATTTTAAGCTTAGTAAATTCTAGGGATATTATAATTTTATACATCAAAACATAATAAAACTAATGTAAAGTGTACAACAATTATCGTTTCAAATCTAAATTTTCAGAAACATTAGCTAAATTTAATCAATTACAAATCACATATTGACTTTTATATTGAATATTAAATTTATTCTTATTGGATTAATTTTATTAATTAACATTTATATATTAGGGGAATAAACTTTAAGCTTAATAAGTTCCAGGGATATTATATTTTTATGTATCAAATCATAGTAAAATTAACGTATGGTGCACAGCAATTATCGTTTCAAATCTAAATTTTCAGAAACATCAGTTAAATTTAATTAATTACAAATCACATATTGATTTTTATATTGAATATTAAATTTATTCTTATTGGATTAATTTTATTAATTAACATTTATTTATTAGGGGAATAAACTTTAAGCTTAATAAGTTCCAGGGATATTATATTTTTATGCATCAAATCATAGTAAAACTAACGTAAGGTGTACAGCAATTATCGTTTCAAATCTAAATTTTCAGAAACATCATCTAAATTTAATCAATTCAAAATCACATATTGATTTTTATATTGAATATTAAATTTATTCTTATTGGATTAATTTTATTAATTAACATTTATTTACTAGGTGAATTTAGGCTTAATACATCCCAGGGATATTATAATTTTATACACCAAAACATAGTAAAACTAATGTAAGGTGTACAACAATTATCGTTTCAAATCTAAATTTTCATAAACATTAGCTAAATTTAATCAATTGCTAAATTTAATCAAAATCACATATTGATCCCGTTTAGAGTGATTTTCATAGAACACAAATGTTTTATATCTTCAACTAAATTAATTACATAAACGGTATATTGTATTGATTGTATGCATAGTATGCGTCATAAATCGTATGTATCGTATAGCGTGCATATTGCAAACCATATATATCACAGAAAATTAAACATTCTATTCTATAATTCAGCTTACCAGCTGAATTATATTAAGCTTATCTTTAAATTTTAATGTTTTACAGCCGTTCATTTTCATAATTGCTTACCGATATTCATTAAACTTGAGATTAAAATTCCTACTTTCACGCATTTCTGCATACATTTTAATAAAGGTAGTACATTAATTATCTACTTAATGTACTACCTAACTGCTATTTTGAATTCTACAATATGTAAACAATTTTATTTACTCTTATTTGAATGCTACTATATATATAAGCAATTTAAACGTATATATGAGACCTGATAGTTGTGCATTAAAGACTTTATGCGACGACCAAACTAAAAAAAAATAATCTTACCTTTATTATTACTTTTCTACTTTTTTAAATATTGTGGTAATCTTATACTCATTTCTGTGAATCTTATTCTTGTACATAGATGATTCCCAGCAGCAGTAGCTAGACTGAACTTGTGAAGTTGTTATTTTATATTTTATTAAAATTTTTATTACATTTAAAATAAAGATTCTGAATTTATTTTACTTTCAGCTAACTTATTTATATTTACTTGCAGACAATCCTCCAGAGTTTTTACACACATTCGAAAACATGACAGTGAATCCTGGGTCTTCGGTGTCTTTGAAATGTTCGGCTTCAGGCAATCCTCTACCCCAAATCACGTGGTCTTTGGATGGAGCGCAGGTATTAAATAAACTCCTAATTCTTAAAATGATTTAAGCCTAAAGCATTTGTTTTCTCCATTTCATTTCATCTTTAGTAAAATTTACTTTTTTGCTAAATTTTGAGTTCGACCCTGATCGGATTTGTAGGTAAAATATTGCAATAGACTGGAATGAACTGTAATCCCAACCATAGCAATACTTTATATGAGTTTAACCCCTTAACCCTTATATTTCAAAAATATGGATCGAAATTGGAAAATTTTTTTGACTGTTTAATTTTTTTTTTAAGTTATTATAAAAGTTAGAAAATGGCTTTTTATTACAAAAATAAAATTTTAAGTGCAATAACTACTGTATTTATAATTTTTACACACACATAAAAAACTAATGGATTTCACACACACTTTATTCAATTAGATCAAATTAAACAAAGTTTTGAAACTAAATATAATATAACTAGTATAATGTAATATAAAAACACAACAATGTGATTTTCAATACGTAAATTTTACAAATCTTTTACAGTATGGTGTATCCCAAAACACGAAACTGCACACAAGCCCATAACGCACTCTTTGCCCTCGACTGAAGCGTAACAGGTGAAAAACTTGAAACACTAATGCCATCTATTAGGAAAATAGTGAATTAAATATCCTAAAGTAGAAACAAATACTGTTCGGGCATCACAAAATAGAAATGTTAATTTTTCTCCTGCCAGAAGACAGTTCGCGCATCACAAATAACAAAAGATTTCTACTAACAAGTTATTGTTAAATTATTCCTCCATAGCTGAACAGCTAATGTCATTTCGCGATCTTCAGCCATGGAAATTAAAGTTTAATTTTAATTTTTTTTTCGCAGGTACCTGAAGATCAGAGTTTTAGATCCGGTGATTACGTTACTCTAGAAAACACTGTTATCAGTTATGTAAATATTTCAAGAGCGGGAGTTGAGCATTCTGGTGAGTTCACGTGCGCAGCTAAAAATGATGCGGGGGAGGTAGAGCACAGCAGCTGGGTCAGGGTGCCCGGACCACCATTCGTGAGAACCATGAAGAATCAGACTATCGTAGCTGGAGAGATGATGAAGATCAGGTGTCCAGCGGGAGGATATCCGATACATAGAATTTCTTGGGAAAGAGGTAAGCAGTAAAATATAACAAAATATATACATAAAATATATATTTTTGAATTATAAAGTTACATTTTAGTATTTTAAATTTTTTCAAATTGGGTTCGAATCCCAACGATGGCTTTTAGATGCACCGACCACAGTGATGACGTGAAATATCCTCAGTGGTAGATGGATCATGCGTTATAGCCAGGGGTCTGTTTAGAAGAAATTTGGGTCCGCTTCACAAAATATCTTTTCATAAAAACGGACCCTTCACAAAATATTTTAACTTAGAAACGGACCCTTCACAAAATGATTTAACTTAGAAACGGACCCTTCACAAAATGATTTTTCTGTTAATCGGACCCTTCACAAATTTGTTGATCTTCATTATTATTTTGTTAATCGAATAAACCCTTCCCATGGCAGAAAACAAGAAAGATGGATGTAAACGAATTAAGTTTTGTCTTCGGCAGACGATTCTTCCCTTATTCGTCCGAAATGAATATTCTGCGTTCAGCAGTATAGACTAAATACCAAATATTTGTATGTTGCATCTCCAACTTAGAAGCAGCAATTGCTGTTTATTTTTGAAAATTTAATTTTTTTTGCTATAATTTTACAGTGCCGAGCATAATCTTGCATCTATTTACAATTTAAAAACTCCTTGAGAAAGTTTTTTTCTATAACCGGGCCCTATTTGCACAAATTCATAAAAGCGGACCCTGGTGGAAAGAATGCGAATAATTTTTTCACAATTTCACGAAAAACGGACCTTTCACAAAATGTCTGGAGGGACCCCTGGTTAGAGCCCCCTTGCCGCCTAGCTAACCGTGGCAGGTTCGCGTGGTCTTCCTCTCCATGTAACGCAAATGCGGATTAGTTTCATCAAAAATTCCTCCAGGAAGGTAAATTTCTCCCAATACTTGATCCAGGAGTTCCCTTGTCTTCTGGATTGGGTTCAAAATTACAAGGCTACAGAGTTGAACATTAGTCGTAGTTGGCGTGCATCGTAGTCGGCGTTTCTGCCAAGGTAGGCGTGCTCACATCACGTCTGACGGTCACCAATGTGGGGAGTAGTAGTAATCAACCATGTCAACCTTCATCTATGGAAAGGTACCCCAACGTTGAATCGAGTTAACAGGTCTTATATACTAGGGAATCGGAATAGTATTTTTGTAGTGGTAGATACACTACAATCACTAAATTTCTGGTGCACACGACAAAAGTTAAGCAAGTTACGCGACCCTGAACGCACACCCATGTGGTTAACCGGAACGATGCGCGTTGTTGAGTGTCAAAACTTCCTTTTTTATACTTTGCGTTATAATCATGTTCGGATCTTTCATCTATGGCAGGGATGGCGAACCAATGGCACGCGTGCCATTTATGGCACGCGTGCCATTTATGGCACCCGACACAATACTTCGGGCACGCCACCGATCACATTTGTTTTTACACAAATGGCATTACACTATGAAGCATATGTAACAATTAAATTAAAATTCACANTTTAAACGTATACTTTTAAATTTCAAACCTGTCTATAACGATAACCTGCCTATAACAATATTTTATTTAGGTCCCTACAGTATCGTTATAGACAGGTTTTACTGTCATCTAATCTGCAACAATATAGGTCACACTGGTGTTACTTTAAGTTGAATTACGCGTATAAATGAGACATTGCAAAAGTTTTTTTTCAATGTAAATAAAGAGTTTTGAGTTGATAGTATTTAGTATTATTATTTTCCCAATAATCACGAAGTCACAATTATTTGACGGCACGTCTATGATCTCATCAAACAATTCTCTAGAAAAAATGGCACGTTGGTGTATAAAGGTTCGCCACCCCTGATCTATGGCATCCTCTCTACACCTAGCACAAATGTCACGAGCAGCTTTTGCAGTCTTAGAGCCTTGGTTAATAGCGCAAATTAGAAAGTGTTGAAAATGCTAATTTCTTTCCACTCCATTTTAATGATCTGAAAATTAATATAAATTTAAATCGAATAAAATAACAAAACATCATTTTTACAATGATTTAAACCAAAACATTGCATTATACGTTTCCAAAAACATATAATGAGATTCAAAATGTAAAATTAAAAAGAACAAACTACCGAGAACCGACCTAATGTAAAAAGAGCTAACTTTATTTTGATAGTTTATGAAAGAACTGGAATTTTTACCAAAACAGACCAAACAAAATCCTATTATAAAAAGAAGAAAAAAACATAAATCAGCATTCTCGTCAATGTTCGCTTTCAAGTCAATAAGAAGCATGAGATTTGTGGAATGCAATTTACGAGTTGTAGAATAATAATTTACCTTTCTCCATTTTAGTTTTATAACTTCTTTATGACTAACAATAAAATTGTTGCTTGGAATTGCAGAAGGGAAAGAATATTTGATATTGAAACATGTTTCTTGAATTTCAGAAATTTATCACCGTATCAAAATTTTGAATGGAGATTGTCAAAGATCAATGCATCCAAATAAATTTCAAAGTTTTTTTTTTCCATATCAACAAAATGCAGATGTAGACCGTTTATTTAAAAGCTATTTTTTTACGATTTTAATAAAAAAAAATTTATAAAACCGTACATATAGAGATAAAATTTAGAAAAGGAAATATTTATTCCAAATTAATCCAACTGTTACAAAAGTCATGCAAATATAGACCGTTTATTTAAAAGTTACTTTTTTAAGATTTTAATAAAAAAAATGTTTAAAAAACCGTACATAAAGATAAAATTTAGAAATTAACTAATTAATCTAACTGTTATAAAAGCCATGCAGATATAGACTGTTTATTTAAACTTTGTTTTTTCACGATTTTAATAAAAAAATGTTTATAAAACCGTACGTAAAGATAAAACTTAGAAATTAACTAATTAATCTAACTGTTATAAAAGCCATGCAGATATAGACCGTTTATTTAAACTTTGCTTTTTTACGATTTTAATAAAAAAATGTTTATAAAACCGTACATAAAGATAAAATTTAGAAATTAACTAATTAATCTAACTGTTATATAAGCCATGCAGATATAGACTGTTTATTTAAACGTTGCTTTTAACGTTGCAATAGAAATGTTTATGAAACTGCACATATAAAGATAAAATTAAGAAAAGGAAATATTTATTCTAAATTAATTTAACAGTTACAAAAGCCAGCAAAAATAAAATGTGTAAAATTACATATATTAGGTGAAATTACGACGAAGGCAGATTTTCTTATCAGACCTGATAATAAAATATTTGAAACAGTGGCTGATAGAGAGAATGATTCGTTTCGCTTCATTTTAAATATTTAAATTCTTTTTAAAAATTTAAAAAATAGTATATTTTTTGTTTTAAGAAAACAAAGGAAATAATTAAAGCTACGCATCTCAAAAAGATGAATCCCAGTAACATTAAAAATAATATAAAAACGAGAAGTGTTAATAGCGTGAAATCTTCAGAAAGCACTTACAAAATTTGATGAATTTTAATATATTAGTATTAATATATTGCACACACCCTGCTCGCTGTTCCCGTATAACTGCTTTTGTAGTTCCTTTTTGATTGAATTTAATTTTAAATTTGAAATTTCCCTTCTTAAAAATTCAATAAAGTTACGTATTACATTTTGTGCAGGGGAGGGGATACACAACTGCACATTACTGAAAATTGATTGCAAAATAAAAAAAGGGCATTCTTTAGACTATTATGCATTAATTAGACTATTGCATAAATGCAATTATTAGACTATTTTTGTTCATATCATTTTAATTTCTAATGAGCAACTGTTGAATTAGGAAAGTCAATCTGGAAATTTTTCGATTGGTTTTAACTTCGAATTAATAAATAGCGAGGTCAGTTGTTTAAGAACAATTGAAAACTGTTTTATTACAATCATGCATTTTTTTTTGCGTTTAAAGTATGTGGTAAAAGAAATAATATTACATTGTTTCAGAGTTACATTTGAAAAATGAAGCATTAAATGCATTAAAAAATTACACGTTATGACACATTCAATATTTTTTTTTAAAAAAACTGCAGTTTTATTATCTATTCACTTTTTCTTAAAGGTGAAGAAAAAAATATAAAAAAGTCGTTCTTTAAAAAATATTTAACGCCTGTTTACGGCTTCGAACAACATAAAAAAGCTATTTAGATAAGAAATAACTATTTGTTAGAAAAAACGCGAATTGAACTATTAAATATACATAAAAATAGCACATAGCTTATATAAAAACCGCATTAACGTATTACTGAGAAAAATCTTCTTAATATAAAAAACACTCATAACAATATTAGATAACACAGGCCTACGATGAAAAAAATACAAGGGATCTGATAGCTGAACTTTGTGTATTTTTTGGTGCTGAAATGAAAAACAATAAGGAAAATTTTCTATCACGTCACGTTTTCTAGAAAAATTCAATTTTACTGGACTTTTTACGAATATTTACCGCGAATATTACCGTTTTTGAATTTCTTGCCTGACCAGCATTCTACTTTGGTTAAATCTACAAAAATACCCCTCTATGGCATATTTCGATCACAATCCCTCTCTCTGTCACAATCTCTCTCTACCAATAACTTCGCGAGAATTTTTAGCTAGGTTCGGTGACCTCTCAGGAACACTAGCAAGTGTTATAGGGAGTTCGAGTTTGAGACATTGTGAGAATTTGCCAAATGACTTTTGTTATATATGCGGCGAATATAGTGTTGTTAAAACTATGTCAGAAAACTTTATCATGCATATTTTGGCATGAAAATCGGAGACCAGGACAACTCATTGTGGCTCCTCATAAAGTTTGTGTACAGTGTCTCAGTGATCTACGCTTATGGCACCAAGGAAAGAAGACTGCTTTACGTTTTGGAATTCCTATGACGTGGAGGGAGACCCCAAAACACTTTTATTGTTATTTTTGTTCCTGCCATGTTCGTGGGTATAACCGAAAAATCAAAGACTAATATCTTATCCTAACATTCCATCGGCCATACGCTCCGTTCCTCATGGACCTGATGTGCCTGT